AGCTTAACATTTAAAATTTTTTTTTTATGTTTTTATGAGTTTTACAACAAAACTTTTTTTTCATTTTTTTGGATATACGAACTTACAACAATAAATTTATTTTCAAATATCATTTTTTAATGTAACCCCCGTGTAAGCTGTGCCGCCACAGTGCAAAAATACAATTTTAAACCTTACAGAAATTTTTATCTCATTTTCCCCCCCATTTGCAAATGTTTAAGCATTAATAAATTAAAAGAACTTAAAAAACAAGTTTCCCAGAAATGTTTTTAGAACTTTTTTAAAATTCTAGAGAAAAGCGAGGGAAATGTATACGAATTAAATTTTTAAAAAAAGAAAACTTTCCCTTTTAGAGTAAAGAACGTAGGTAACCATAGCAACCAAAAGGAAAAAAACTTTAATTTTGTATATCAGTAAAAATTTAATATTATTTTTCACTTTGAGAGATGTCACGATATATTTTTTTTTAAATGAGACAAGTAAAGCGAAGAAAAATTTTCCTATTTTTTTTTTTTAGACTGTTAGGAAAGTGTGTGTGTTTTGTGTGTGTGTGGTGTGTCCTTAGGGCCACTTGATAAAATGTATTTTTTTTTTTTTGAGTCTTTTAAAAACCCAAAAAATTAACATAAACGTGATTTCTTACTTTAAATTTTCTGAATTTTTATGACTCAAAAAATCGTAAAAGAAAACCCCGGGTTCAATCCCCCGGGCCGGGGGGATGGTTCTGATTTATTTTTTTTGGGCTAATACATTTAATACATTTTTCCGATTTATTTTCCCGGGTTTTTCTATGTTTTGTCTTTTGCTGACAGACCAAACCCTCCTTTAAGGGACGATATTTACCCAAATTTTGGAACCCTTTAAAGGGTTTCTAAGGTAATAGATTAAAAAAATTTTTTTTACTACTTTTAAAAAGATGTTTAAGAGAGAACGTAAAATATTTTATAAATATATATTATATATAATATAAATATATATATATATAAAATATATAATTATATAAATATATATTATTTTATATAAAAAATATATTACATGTATGTATATAATATTATATATATATATAATAAGTATATATATAAATATATATATATAAATATATATATATATATATATAAAATATATATAAAGTCTGGGGGGGAAAAATTTTGTAAAACTGGGCAATTTGCAAGAACTCATTTAAAAAATTTAAATCCTTTCTAAAAATTTTTTTTTCTTTAACGTTTAAAGATATATTTTTTCATTTAATGTTAATAAAAAATTTTAATTTTGCACCAAAAAATCTTAGAAAATTTACCTAACCTTATTTAACAAAGAAATTTTATTTTAGCATAACCCCCAAAAAATAATTTAAAATACGTTTAAATAATTTAGTACTAAACAAATAAAAACAAATAATTTTTTTTCGTTAGGTTCGGGATGATTTTGGCGAAATTTTTGCATAAAAAAATTTTCACTTTCCTATATGGCAAGTGAGCGTTGCTATTTAAGCCAAGATGGCAATTCTCCCTATTTGGCAGACAAAAATTATTTTAATTATAAATTTATATATAATATTATTTTTAAAATAATATATATATATTATATTATATATATTAATATATATTTATTTATTTAATACAGTATAAAATATATTCGTGAAAAAATGTAAAACGGTCATTAGCAAAAAACTCATTTAAAATAATCCTTTTCAAAAAATTTTCTCTTATACTTTAAAAATATATTTTTTCTTTAATGTTAATGAAAAAAAATTTTAAATTTGCTCCAAAGAACTTAGAAAACTTACCTAAAACTTTTTAAAACTAAAAACAATTTTTTTTAGCCAAACCCCAACTAAATATTTTTTTGATTTTTTTTTCAATAATTTAATACTAAACAAAAACAGTGAAATAATTTTTTTTTCTTTTGGTTCAGAATGTTTTTGGGCAAATTTTGCTACAGAAATTTTCGCTTGTCCTTAGGCAAGATGAGCGTTGCTATTTAAGCCAAGATGGCTAGTTCTGCCCTATTCGGCACGACAATATATATTTAAATAATAATATAATATATATATAATATATATATAAAATATATAATATATATTTATATAATATAATATATTTTAAAATCGTGGGGAGTCAGAGGGGAAAAAAAACATTTGTCCCCAAATGCAACTCGGTTATTTATTTTTTGCCTCACTCGTGGGGAAATAGTGAAATCACCGATACGATCTTAAGACTCAAATACAGTACACTGTCACAATTTTTTTACAACTTTCCCTCACACCGGGGGATTTATTAATTAATGTTAAAAAAGTCCACTGGTGGGCGATACGTCTAAATAAAGTATCACATTTTTGCTGTTTTTGTGTTTTACCAACCCCTTTCCAAAATATTTTCCTTTTTTACTTTCGAAAGCGCCGCAGCGCCACTTAACAATTTTCCCTTCGCTGCCAGCCGTAACTTCCATTTTTCTTTAAATTTTAATGATCCAAATTTAAACACTTAAATGGAAAAAACACCGACAGAAGGTCACAGCCCCAGGACAGTTTTTTTCAAATAAATAACCAAATTTTTTACTTAAGTGATTTTTCTAAACCAAAAACTTTAATAAAAATTTAAAACCCGACCACCGAATTTAAAACAAAAATATTTCCCCGGTAGCCTCATTCGGCGAAAGTGCACGATAGTTGAAGCCCCCCCCTTGATAAACACTTGTGCAACACTTGGGGCTTTTATGAATTTACCACTGTCAACATTGTGGATCTTTATTGGGGAAAAATTTCGCCAGCCAGTGGCTTCTTCAGCCCAAAAAAGAGAAATTTGGGTGAGAGTTGAGAAGTTTGAGGAATCAGTCCCCAGCCTGGACAATGCTTCACCGAAGAAGCCTCGGGCGGGAAAACGTTCACTCAGTAAAGTTTTCAAATGCTGCACAAGTTCTATTCTTCAAGGGCGCCAAGTCCACACAGACTGCTGGTCTAGAGGCTTTTGTGACTTTCTACCAAACATACGTTCTTGGGGCGATGTTTGCGTTAGAATCATAAAAAAAGCAGAGAAACTGACTCAACACACTGTTAGGTGAATAATATATAAAAATAACATTAATAACATATACAATACGCAAAAAAAAACCCCAATAAAAAGATGGCAAACAAACCCCGGGGCCGGGGGGGCTTCAAAAACCCCTGGGGTGAATCCTAAAGGGAGGAGAGACTCGTTTTTTTTTTTTTTTTTTTTTTTTTGTCAACTTTCAAATGTAAAATTTATGCTGTTATGAAGGAGCAATTTTTCGCCCAAAACACAGTGTGCATGGACTCCTTTTTGCAAAATTTCAAGATATTGCACAATTGTAATTTTGCATAAAAAACCTTTCCTTCCCCACAAAATTGGTAAGTTGTACAATTTCAATCAACATCAGATGAAAGGTAAAGAGTTTTATTATCTAAAATTTTTAAACTTTTTGCGAGAAATGTCAATAGATTGCATTATAAATATTTGTTTTTGGGGCGTTTTTGGGGGGAATAAGAGTCAATAAAACAAAATGGGAAAAAATATTGCAAAACACCTCGAAACTTAAGGGAACCAATTCATCAACATTTTTGAAAAAATCATACAACCCTTTCCATTTTACTCTTTGCAAAAAATTAAAAAAAATGTCAGTAAAATTATTCCTGGATACAAAAATTTGTTTCTACAAAACTCAGGGAGATGAAAAACAAATTGAGCGTGTTGCAAAACCCCCATCATTTTGAAACCCAGAGGCAACTGAACAGTAACAACTCTTTCTCATCACTTTTTCGTCACAGAATTTTCCATTTGAGTGTTTAGAATGGAAACAGTCTAACACGCAATTTCGAAATAAAAAATGCAAAAAAACACTAATTGCCAACATGTCCTCTTTATGACAGCAAAAAAATAAAAATTACATTTTTGAAAAAACATCTTAGAAATATGATAGAAACAAGTGATTGCTCAAATGTTGCCAGAATTTTGCACTATTTTTTTTGGGAAGAAAACCTTAATTTTCCCTAATTTTTCAAATTCAATTTTTAAAAACCTAAAACAAAGGCCTCCGGCCCCAAAAAATCGAGGCCAGTACGTTAAAACCCCCCCCACTACTTTAAAAAAAAATTAAAATTTCAAAACTTTCTTTTTTGCACAACATATATATTATATATATATATAATATATATTATATAAAAATTAAAAATTTATATACCATGGATGGTGGTATTTAATCAATAACAACACTGCCACTGCTACTAGCCGAGGACTCGAACCCATGTCGTTTTAGCACGTCTCTTGGAGAGAGAAAATACACGACGCCCTAACCGACGGGACCATCCAATCCTACAAAGATCACGCACCCAGCAGAGCTAGGTGTTTTACAAAGTTTTACAGATCTGCTGGATGCGTGATCTTTGTAGGATCGCTGGCTCAGTGTTAAGGTGACACGAACGTTGTGTTGTCTCTTGAGGCGGGACAGTGTGTCTTGGGGTCGAGCCCTGGCCTGCCTCAGTTTGGTAAATGATTCAAAATCACTTGTTTCGTGATTGCATTGCCATATAGACTGCTTGTTGGGGCGTGTATTCAAACAAGAGGAGGCTGAAATTAATCCTTGTGATACCACTGCTACGAGTGTCCTCGGATCACGAGAAAAACATTAAGCTCTGCTGGATTTGTGATCTATGTAGGATCACTGGCTCAGTGGTAAGGTGACACATGCGTTGTGTTGTCTCTTGAGGCGGGACAATGTGTCATGAGGTCGAGCCCTGGCCTGCCGCAGTTGGTAAATGATATAAATATATGCAAAACAACCAAGGGGAGAGCTGATTGATAATTCTAGGCCTTTCGTGTTGCACTCAAAGCATCATCATGAACTTGCAATGTTGCGGAAAGGAGGAAGAAGTCCAAGCCTTTCCTGGATTGAGGCAGAGAGGCTGGAGGCAGGAAGTGCCCCCATGCATACCAATATATATAGCCAGAAAGATGGAATATTATAACATTAGAAGACAGCCAGCCCATATATATGTGTGTGTGTGTGTGTGTTAGTGACATTCCCAGGTAGAGGGTGAGTAACCAAGATAAGTCAAAAGTTTCCTGGTGTAACACGTATCAGTAACTCAACACAAGGCAGCTGGGAAAAGTTTGGCTACGAACGTTCTCTCCTTGACTTAAAAATTTCCTTTCACAATCTCCCTTTTGCTTTGCATTATTGAGGGTCTAATATAGAAATGAAAATATTTTTTGCTTAGATGTGTATGAATATATTTCATGAACTCAGAGCAAGTCATCGTCGATGGTGTTGAAACCAAATTAATTGATATGAGTTTTGAGTGTAGCAGTGTCTGGCAACTAGTTTAGGACTGGGTGGTGTCCAGGGTCCCTAACCTATATATACTCAGCAGGTGGTGTTACTGCCTCAGTCTTGGGTCATCCTCTCCAGCCATCAGTGCCAACATCATCAGGTACGGAGCCACACCCACTTTCCCTTTCATGTTCCTCAACAAGGATAAACAGCATGCTGTTTCCAACTGTCTTACCCACTGCAGTGTCTAACCCGCTGCCAGACGTTACCTTCCCGTATAGAAATTTTCTTTTATTGATTTTGAAGTATTCGTATATAAGCTTAATTTACATTTTGTTAAAGTAACATACATAAAATAACTAATATTCAAATTGACCTACTGTAATTGGTAGGGAAATAAATGTTGTAATTTGATTACTAATTGTTGAATATGGAGACTTTGAGGTAATCAGTCCCTCAGCTTGGAGATTATATATTTCTCTATCTTCTGCTTATATTTGTTCACTTCTTGGTGAACACCGACTTAATGAACAATTGAAAGCATTTAACCAGACTTCAACGTTCATTTTCTTACGCATTGCAGTGCGTCAGTTTCTGCACGATCTAAACCACTTTCGTATAAGTTATAGTTCCCTTACATCAGAAAATTAGTAATAATCACTTCCGAATTATCAACAGACAAATCAATATTTCTAGAAGGTATCTGAATAATGGTGTAAAAACATTCTTGATCCAAGGAAACGGAGCAACATTTACACAAATAACTCATAAAGCAAACAGATATTTCAATGAACATAGATAGTTTCAGGTTAATTTTAAAGATAACTTCAAGATGAATTTGATTGTATTTGTTGTATTTTATTACCATTTAACAATAACTATAAAAAATATTATTTTAGGCCTTATCTAGTGAACAATGGTTATAATTTAACTAATGATAAATACAGCCAAATACAGTTATTTATTAATTTTGATCTTCTCATATTTTTTTTATCATAATTAAGCACATAAGTGTGCAGTTAGTAAATAATAATTTTAATGTTTATTCGTTATTCATTTATGTTTAATGCTAAATTATTTGATGAGAGTCAATATTAGAGGCTCTATCCTCCGTCATCTAATTCCAACTACATCTCTGACCAGTCAGACCAAAAAATGAAAATGAAAATTTCTACATAAAAAATACATAACAAGTGTTTAGTAAATATTACATCAAACTTAATGTAAGTGAAATATAATATGTGAGCTTCTTGTTCAGTACTGTTATAAATGTAAAGATTGACTTTTTCCAACCTTTCTTAAGTCTAATTAGATGCTGCTTAGCTGTGACCCCGGGGTTGTGAGGTCAACCGGATGGTCAGTATATCAGTATCATCATCAGTGTCATCATCAGTATCATCGTCAGTATCATCATCAGTGTCATCAATTTGTTTCTCTTACATTGCAGTATGAGTCGCTTCACAGTAGCTGCCGCTCTTCTAGTAATTGTTTGCTTCCTGCAACTATCAGAAGCCAACCCTCAACACGGCTTCCCTGGCAGCAGATACCCGGGTAGTGGTGGCTTTATTGGAAGATTTCCAGGAGGTGGAGGCATCGGGGGTAGATTTCCTGGCAGTGGAGGCATCATTGGTGGGGGCAGATTTCCAGGTGGTGGACACCATGGACATCATGGTCATCATGGACATCGCGGATAAACCCAGAGGAGACGTTGGTAGTCAAGGTGGTAAGAAAGTCTGTGGCTTTAAAGGATGGTATTGCGCTTCAAGAAACTATGCCAACTCATGATCTTTACTGAGTTTGGCAGAACTGACATTCAGTCGAGGTTTCTTCACATCGGAGAACTTCCCTGACTTGGTCCTGATCAACAACCAACTGTTCACCAGCAATCCTGGTGCTGTAGCAGGTAACAAGAGCAGCACTGCTCCTAGTGTTCTTCCCAGCACAAATTCAGCTCAACTGACCAAGAATGAGCCACGACCCGCACCCAACTTAGCTACATAAGGGCGTTTGACAAATTTGCTTTTTAATAGACATAAGCAAAACAACAGTTTGAAAGAGAAAATGCAACAGCCCTAGAGGTCTACGAGAGCTTGAAGCTTAAGATTAACTTTTTTTTTGTTTCATGAGTTTACATCAGCTTTTGCATTTTTTTGGTGATATACTGAATTTACAACAATAAATATTTATTTTCAATATATCATTTTTTTTAATGTACCTTCGTGTAAGCTGTGCCGCCAGCAGTGCAATATACAATTATCAATCTTACAGAAATTTTGATCTTATTTCGCCCATTTGCAAATGGTTAAGCATTAATAAATTATAAGAACTTATAACCAAGTTCGAGAAATGTTTGGGGGACTTTTAATGATTCTAGAGAAAGCGAGAAAGTGGGGATACGAATTAATTTGGTAAAATGATAAACTCCGTTTTAGAGTAAAAGAGCGTAAAGGGAACCATAGCAACAACAGGAAATCAACTTTATTGTGTGATATCAGTAAAGCTTTAATATTATTTTCACTTCGAGAGAGTGTCACTGATATAATTTTCTTTTTATATGAGACAAGTAATGCGAAGAGACTTTTCCTATTGTTGTTTTGTTAGAGTTGTTAGGAATGTGTGTGTGTGTGTGTGTGTGTGTGTGTGTCTTAGTCACTTGATAGATGTATTTCTTTTTCTTGAGTCTTCACTCAAAATATTAACATAAACGTAGATTTCTTATCGTAACTTACTGATTATTTTTTTTGTCTAGATACATTTAGATACATTTTCCTGATTTTCCTGGTTTTTTTCTGTTTTAGTCTTTGCTGACAGACCAGAACCTCCTTTAAGGGACGATAAATTTTCCATAGTTAGGACATTTAAAGGGTTTCTAAGGTAATATGATAATATTATTTACTGCTTTGATAAGATGTGTAAGAGAGAACGTATATTATTATATATATAAAATATATATATATATATATATATATATTTTTATATATATATATATATAATTATATATATATATATATATATATAATTTTGTATACATGTTAACATGTATGTCGTGCCGAATATGTAAAACTGGTCCAAATTAGCAAGAACCATTTAAAATTAAGTCCTTTCTAAAATTTTCTCTTATTCTTTTAAAGATAATTTTTTTTTTTCATTAATGTTAATGTAAAAATTTTTAATTTTGCTCCAAAAGTATCTTAGAAAACTTACCTAACCTTATTATAACAAGAACAATTTATTTTAGCCTAACCCAAATAAATTTTTTTTAGATTTCTTTACAAAATTAATACTAAACAAACACAGTGAAATATACTTTTTTTTTGTTTGGTTTCAGAATGATTTTGGCGAAATTATTGCATACACAAATTTTCGCTTGTCCTATATGGCAAGATGAGCGGGTTTCTATTTAAGCCAAGATGGCTAGTTCTGCCTATTCGGCATGGCATATATATTATATATATATATATATAATATATTATATATATATATATATATATATATATTATATATACAGTGGACCCCCGCCATAGCGAACTTAATCCGTGCCCAAAAGGGCTGGTCGTTATCGAAATGTTCGCTATTGCGAATTAATTTTCCCCCATAAGAAATAATGGAAATAAAATTAATCCGTGCAAGAAACCCAAAAGTATGAAAAAAAAATTTTTTTTACCACAAAAAAATGTTAATTTTAGTACACACAAACTGAAAAAAGGCATGCACAATTACATGACCCCTTACTTTTATTGAAGATCTGGTGATGATTGAATGGGATGGGAGGAGGGGGGAGGGGGAGAGTGTTTAGAAGGGGAATCCCCTTCCATTAGGACTTGAGGGTAGCAATCCTTTTCCGGGGTTTTCTTCCCTTCTTCTTTTAATGCCACTAGGACCAGCTTCAGAGTCACGGGGCCTCTGTGCCACAACAAATCTGTCCATAGAGCTCTGTACCTCCCGTTCCTTTACGATTGTCTAAAATGGGCCATAACATTGTCATTGAAATAGTCACCAGCACGGCTTGCAACAGCTGTGTCAGGGTGATTTTCATCCATAAAGGTTTGCAGTTCAACCCACTGTGCACACATTTCCTTAATTTTTGAAGTAGGCACAATGGATTCCACAACTGGCATAGGCTTCTCGGGGTTTTAGCCCCAAACCCTTAAAAATCTTTCTTAATTTCCATACTAATTCTCCCCCTTTTTTACCACAGGGTTGGCACTAGAAGCTTTCTTGGGGCCCATGGTCACTTTTTTTTTCCCAGAAACAGCACCGAAAACACTGTAATAATACGAAATATTCCGAGTGTATGCTTGAATGTTACCGCGGAGGCTGGCTGGTAAACAATGGACGTGTCTCGGACGAAGGTCGCTGAGCGGGTTTTTGTCCACTATGCGGGGCAAAATTTTGGCGAACAAAGCGTTCGCTATGCGGATTGTTCGCTATGCAAGGCGTTCGCTATGCGGGGGTCCACTGTATATATATATATTGATGGGATTGATGGGATAAAGATAGAAATGTTAAAAGCAGGTGGGGATATAGTTTTGGAGTGGTTGGTGCAATTATTTAATAAATGTATGGAAGAGGGTAAGGTACCTAGGGATTGGCAGAGAGCATGCATAGTTCCTTTGTATAAAGGCAAAGGGGATAAAAGAGAGTGCAAAAATTATAGGGGGATAAGTCTGTTGAGTGTACCTGGTAAAGTGTATGGTAGAGTTATAATTGAAAGAATTAAGAGTAAGACGGAGAATAGGATAGCAGATGAACAAGGAGGCTTTAGGAAAGGTAGGGGGTGTTTTGGACCAGGTGTTTACAGTGAAACATATAAGTGAACAGTATTTAGATAAGGCTAAAGAGGTCTTTGTGGCATTTATGGATTTGGAAAAGGCTTTATGACAGGGTGGATAGGGGGGCAATGTGGCAGATGTTGCAAGTGTATGGTTTTAGGAGGTAGGTTACTGAAAGCAGTGAAGAGTTTTTACGAGGATAGTGAGGCTCAAGTTAGAGTATGTAGAAAAGAGGGAAATTTTTTCCAGTTAAAAGTAGGCCTTAGACAAGGGGATGTGTGATGTCACCGTGGTTGTTTAATATTTTGTATAGAGGGGGTTGTAAGAGAAGAAAAAATGCGAGGGTCTTGGCAAGAGGCGTGGAGTTAAAAGATAAAGAATCACACACAGGGGTGGGAGTTGTCACAGCTGCTCTTTGCTGATGACACTGTGCTTTTGGGAGATTCTGAAGAGAAGCTGCAGGATTGGTGGAATGAATTTGGTAGGGTGTGCAAAAGAAGAAATTAAAGGTGAATACAGGAAAGAGTAAGGGTTATGAGGGTAACAAAAAGATTAGGTGGGTGAAAGATTGAATATATTGGAGGGAGAGGGGTATGGAGGAGGGGAGGAAGTAATTCAGATATTTGGGAGTGGACGTTTTTCAGCGGATGGGTCTATGAAGATGAGGTGAATCATAGAATTGATGAGGGGAAAAAAAGAGTGAGTGGTGCACTTAGGAGTCTGTGGAGACAGAGAACTTTGTCCTTGGAGGCAAAAAGGGGAATGTATGAGAGTATAGTTTTACCACGCTCTTATATGGGTGTGAAGCATGGGTGATGAAAGTTGCAGCGAGGAGAAGGCTGGAGGCAGTGGAGATGTCATGTCTGAGGGCAATGTGTGGGGTGTGAATATAATGCAGAGAATTCTAGTTTGGAAGTTAGGAGGAGGTGCGGGATTACCAAAACTGTTGTCCAGAGGGCTGAGGAAGGGTTGTTGAGGTGGTTCGGACATGTAGAGAGAATGGAGCGAAACAGAATAACTTCAAGAGTGTATCAGTCTGTAGTGGAAGGAAGGCGGGGTAGGGGTTCGGCCTAGGAAGGGTTGGAGGGAGGGGGTAAAGGAGGTTTTGTGTGCGGGGGCTTGACTTCCAGCAGGCATGCGTGAGCGTGTTTGATAGGAGTGAATGGAGACAAATGGTTTTTAATACTTGACGTGCTGTTGGAGTGTGAGCAAAGTAACATTTATGAAGGGATTCAGGGGAAACCGGCAGGCCGGGGCTTGAGTCCTGGAGATGGGAAGTACAGTGCCTGCATCTGAAGGAGGGGTGTTAATGTTGCAGTTTAAAAATGTAGTGTAAAGCCCCCTTCTGAAAGAAGTGATGGAAAAGTGAATGATGGTGAAAGTTTTTCTTTTTCGGGCCCCCCTTGCCCTTGGGGGGAAATCGGCCAGTGTGAAAAAAAAAAAAAAAAAAAAAAAAAAAAAATATATTGAATGGGGGAGGTCAGAGGGGAAAAATAACAGTTTGGCCCACCACAAATGCAACTCTGGTTATTTTTGTTATGATTCATTTGGGTGGTGAGAAATAGTGTAAATCACCGTCGATCTAGAAGCCCAAAAATACAGTACACTGTACAATTTTTTTAAACGTTTCCCTCCCCGGGGATTTATTAATTTAATGGCTAAATAAAGTCGATGTTGGGCGTTTACGTGTCAATAAAGTATCACATTTTTGCTGTTTTTTGTGTCTTTACCCAACCCCTTTCCCAAATATTTTTTTTTTTTGCTTTGAAAGACTCGCGCCCCCTTAACAACTTATCCTGAGTGCCCCCCTTTTAAGCTTCACATTTTTTTTTTTCAATGATCCTAATTTAATCACGTTAATTTTGGAAATAGACCCCGCAGAAGAGATAAACCCCCCAGGACAAAAAAAAAGTTTTTAATTAACTTTCCCAAATGTTTTTTTAAGTGTTTTTTCTAAACCAATACGTTGATCAAAATTAAACCCGATCCACGAAATTTTAAAAAAAACACGAAATATTTCCCCGGTGATGTTTCCCATTCGGCGGGAAAGTGCACGCAGTAGTTAAAGCCCGTTGATAAGAACTTGTGCAACACTTGGCATTATAAATTATACCACTGTGCAACATTATGGTATCTTTATTGTGGAAACCTTTCGCCAGCCAGTGGCTTCTTCAGTCCAAAACAGAGAAGATTGGTGAGAGCTGAGAAGTTTGAGGTAATCAGTCCCTCAGCCTGGAGTCAATGCGTTCACTGAAGAAGCCACTGGCTGGTGAAACGTTCACTCAGTAAGGATTTCAGAATGCTGCACAAGTGTCTCATTCTTCAACGGCGCTCAAGTCCACGACAGACTGACTGGTCTGAGAGGCGTTCGTGACTTTCTACTCAAACATGCGCTTCTTGGGGCGCATGTTTGACGTTAGA